CCCAGGTGTAATGCACTATATGCTCTAACTTTCTTTAATATTATTTAATTCAGCTGAAATTTTGTGTAAATAACAATTGAAGTTTTATCTATTATATCCTAAAATATCGATTATTGATAAAGTTAGGGCATATAGTGCATTACTTCTGGGACAACCCTCGTATATAGCAAAATACCTTGAATTGTAAATTTGTCAATGACAACCAAATATAAGATATTAGGAAAGCTAATTAGGTTATTCAATTCGTACTCTAGCGAACGTGTGTAGCTGCGAGGAAAATGAATCTAAAGAATGCGACATTGGATTTGGATGTACGAGTTTTAGAGTATGCGAGTCGGGACGAGTCATTACAGTCGAGTGTCCAGAGGGACAAATTGTCCACCCAGATACTTTGGAATGTCAGTCGTAAGTACACTCATATCGAAAAGTTTGGTAACCCTAATTCCACAATGCATTGCTAAACCGTGGTGATGCTTGAATTAACTGGAAAGGAGAATACTACTAATAATCAGATGCCCCTTTTGGTGCCTTCCATTGTTGTGATTGTATTTGTATAATTTGGAATTTAGGAAACAGATAATATAAAATAAATTATATAAAATATAACCCTTCTATTTTGGAAATCAAAGAAGTATTTACTGTCTTTATTAATGTAAGTACTAGGTAGTTAGAGGATTCAAGATCAAGACACGATGAATCAAAATATGTTAAAATATACAAAAGATAAATAGATATTTAATTTCCTTGTAAGACCACTTCAAGTGCCGCCACCTTGCGGTGACTATAGAAACTGTACTGGTATGGCAGACGGCAGTTATCCAATAGCAGACGACTTTTGCCGCTCTTATTACCGATGTGAGGGAGGGAACATCCAACTTACCGGATTATGCCCCGCTGGTATGTGAAATATTCAATGTTGCTCAAAGTTTTATGAAACCATCAATATTTGAAGTTATGTATTGATAAATAAAGTATATCATTTATAACGAAAATCGTACCAAGGCAGAAATACTTTTTTATTTATTCAGTGTATGTGTTAATTTTTCGTTTTGCAGGCACCGTGTTTGATCAACCAAGGCAAGTGTGTCTAGATAGAGATCAAGTGTGTCCACCTTGCGGTACAGCCACCGAAACACCCGTTGGTCCCTGTCCTACAACACCATGATTCAAATAAATGCATGGATATGACGAATAAAAGCATTGGTTTTATTATCCAGGGATTAATTCAATTATTAGTTTAACGAATGATAAGTGGAAAAAAATAAACAAATAAATCACAAGTTTCAATTTATATGTTGTATTCTTTATTTCACTTCATGAGCGTCAATTAAACTAGGCACTACACAGATTAACCTTAACAGTATTAAGAGAACATAAGTCTGCAATCGTTGTTGTTGTATTACAACTTTCGTCCTCATTACATTGATACTCAATAAGGCAAATTAATAAAACGGAGAACTGATTTATATTGCAATTTCGCGAGAGGGATTTGCAGGTGAATACCATTTTCGCGAGAAGGATTGGCAGGTGAATACCATTTTCGCGAGAGGGATTGGCAAATGAATACCATTTTCGCGAAAAGGATTGGCAGGTGAATGTCGTCTTTGTAAGAAGGATTGGCAGGTGAGTATCATTTTTGTGAGAGGGATTGGCAGGTGAATACCATTTTTGTGAAGGATTGGTAGGTGAATACCATTTTCGCGAGAAGGATTGGCAGGTGAATACCATTTTCGCGAGAGGGATTGGCAGGTGAATACCATTTTCGCGAGAGGGATTGGCAGGTGAATACCATTTTCGCGAGAGGGATTGGCAGGTGAATACCATTTTCGCGAGAGGGATTGGCAGGTGAATACTATTATCGCGAGAAGGATTGGCAGGTGAATACCATTTTCGCGAGAGGGATTGGCAGGTGAATACCATTTTCGCGAGAGGGATTGGCAGGTGAATACCATTTTCGCGAGAGGGATTGGCAGGTGAATACCATTTTCGCATATTTACCATTTTCGCGAAAAGTATTGGCAGGTGAATGTCGTCTTTGTAAGAAGGATTGGCAGGTGAATACCATTTTTGCTAGAAGGATTTGCAGGTGAATACCATTTTCTGTGAGAAGGATTGGCAAGTGAATACCATTTTCACAAGAGGGATTGGCAGGTATATACCATTTTTGTGAGAGGGTTTAGGAGGGTCACTATGATTCCTTTCAATACCGATACATTCCCCCATGTTATTCAATAAGAAGGAATAGTAATAGTGTCCTCTAGTTCTAGCTAATAAAAAAACACTTACTGACAAGCAATCATCTATATCTAGAATGTAGAATGATTATAAAGCGTGATATTTTATACATGTTGCCAGTTTTAACGTGTTACAGATGCAGTGTTTGATCAACCAAGACAAGTGTGTCTTGACATAGAACAAGTGTGTCCACCTTGCGGCAGAGCAACCGAGACACCGATTGGTCCCTGTCCCCCAACGTCATAATTCAGATCAATACAAACGTACGGCGATTAATGTAAATATGTTTGATACATAAACAAATAAAGCAAACAAAGGTTTCAGTTCATATTTTGTATTATTCATTTTATTTAAAGAAAGTCAAGTCAGTAACATTTTAAGAGAACTTGTATGTGAACGCCAAATATTAAATATGAATGCCTAACCTTTGGATTAAACTGCAATCGTCTTAACCATGTTACAACGTTCTTCTTTATTACGCTGATACCCAATCGGGAAAATTAATACAAACGGAGAACTACTGGTACAATAACGTCATTTCGAAGGGCAATATAGTGAAATATTGGACCGAGGCCCGAATGCCCAATACCATAATTCTACGTGTTCATGTATAAGTTCTCATAAAACGTGTGACTAAACTTTTTTACAGTATAACTAGGGGAGGAAATCGAGGGGCATGTTCGTAATTTTCCTCAAATCATAAATTTGTTCTTTAACTGGAAAACGGGTCGTTGCGGCCATTTGGTAAGACGTTGGCGAGGACTTTGGCATTAACGATTCAAGGCCATGCATTATTCCAATTCCGTACTTCTTGGAATACACCTCGCAGTATAGTCGACATAGGCCATCTTCGACAACGTATGGTATGAGGGGAACATAGGTAAGTATATCTGGCTCCTCGCTGAGTCCACATTCGTCGTACCCGTTGACTACTAGTGTCGCGATGAAAATCGAGGCGTTTACAGGAAAGGTCATAGCCCATTTACCTGAAATAGCACATGCATATTCAATTATAACAAGACACAGGGTGAACAGAATCGCACCCTTGAATAGAATACAGTTTTTAGGATGGAACATCCAAAATGGCCACTCTAACATTTACCCAGAATGCTTAAAAACGAATCAGTTCTAAACTTTCATCCATAGAAACATCTCTAAAATCTTAAAATGAATCCATGAAACCTGTAAACAAGCCTCGAGAGACATGTTTTAAAGGGTTCCGATAAGCTTCCCGTATAAAAACAATATGGCGGCTCCAGGCGAGTCAACTGGATCAGTCCATTTTTTAGAAATAAGGGGAGTTCTGTAAAATCCAGTTTATTGAAATTGTCTTTGAGATAAAGTAATCCGTTTATAATGATTTTGAAAACGTTATCCATAGAGTGATTGCGTTCAAAGAATACATGCACAACAGCCAATATAAATCCTTGTATTAGAACTGCTTTGTTTCATTTGTAGGATATTTCATATGCCAAGCTGTGTGCTATTACGTTATGGGGAAATTTAGATGCCAATTTTTCCTTATTATACACAAATAGAAGATCTTGAAACTTCACCCATAAATGTGGAATTGATTTGTCAAAATAAAAATCACCCTTTTATAAATGTGTGACAATCTATAATATACTTATGCTATATAACAGTTAGAGGTGTTGACACAACGACCTCGAACCTGTGAACCCTTGAGTATTATTCCGGGATCGGGCCTTTTATACTAAACGGTGAGCAACACCAGAAACGAGCGTTCGATTTGCTAAACGATATGCGTCACCCTTTAAGGACGGGATCCAAGATGGCCGCCTTAACTTTACCTAGAATGCCGAAAAACGTATCAGTTCTAGGCTTTCATAGGTAGAAACATCCCTGAAAATTTCAAATGAATCCCTCAAACGGTTTGGCTGGAAACCTGTAGACAAGCATTGACAGACAAGATTTTAGGACATAAAATCCAAAATGGCCGCCCTAACATTCACCCAGAATGCCGAAAAACTAATCAGTTCTAAGTTTTCATAGATAGAAACATCCCTGAAAATTTCAAATAAATCCGTCAAACGGTTTGGCTGGAAACCTGTAGACAAGCCTTGACAGACAAGATTTTAGGACGTAAAATCCAAAATGGCCACCTTAACGTTTACCCAGAATGCCGAAAAACTAACCAATTCTAAACTTTCATAGGTAGAGACATCCCTGAAATTTCAAATGAATCCCTCAAACGGTTTGGCTGGAAACCTGTAGACAAGCCTCGACAAGATTTTAGGACGGAAAATCCAAAATGGCCACCTTAACATTTACCCAGAATGCCGAAAAACTAATCAGTTGTAAACATTCATAGGTAAAAACATCCCTGAAAATTTCAAATGAATCCCTCAAACGGTTTGGCTGGAAACTTGTAGACAAGCCTTGACAGACAAGATTTTAGGACGTAAAATCCAAAATGACCGCCTTAACATTTACCCAGAATGCCGAAAACTGATCAGTTCTAAATTTTCATAAGTAGAAACATCCCTGAAAATTTCAAATGAATCATTTAAACGGTTTAGCTGGAAACCTGTAGACAAGCCTTAACATACAAGATTTTAGGACAAGGAGGATTGGAAGCCAGGGTTCCAACTCGATATTCTTTAATCTCCACGCATGCGTCATTTGCTATTCGTGTCTGTATAATTTGTACGACTGCATGGAGAATGACCCGATACTCTCCAACAAAGCTATCGCTAGGTGATTGTTTTGCAGAATATCGGTGTTGCATTCTGGGAGCCAATCCTCCTTGATTTTAGGACAGAAAATCCAAAATGGCCGCCTTAACATTTACCCAGAATGCCGAAAAACTATTCAGTTCTAAACTTTCATAGGTAGAAACATCCCTGAGAATTTCAAATGAATCCCTCAAATGGTTTGGCTGGAAACCTGTAGACAAGATTATTCGGGACGTCCGCCCGCCAAACCGCCCGCCCTCCCGGCAAACCGATTACAATATAGCACCTAAGGGTGCAATAAAAATGTCACCCTCTATTTAAGTTGTTCATAATTCAATGACCAAATAACACCAGTAGATAGAAAACTGAGGGCATCAGGCCGCCACGGGCCGCCACGGGCCCGGGGCTTTCAAAATCTCTGAAGATGAGCAGGAGATATAGATGAGCAGGAGATAAATTAATTGGATGGGGATTAGGAGATAACTTAATTGGATGGGGCTTTCATCTTAAATGGGTGAGAGATAAGATACGCATGACATCATTGTTATCTTAAATGGGTGAGAGATAAGATGCGCATGACATCATTGTTATCTTAAATGGGTGAGAAATGTATTTCTTGGACTGAATAGTAAAGTACAAAATAAATCCCTTTAATATTATTTTAAATTTGGTATAATCCATTAACAGTGTTTACAATTCTACTTTCAATATTAACCCAACATTGAAAAGAATCAATAATCCTATTGAGCTGGTCAAACAAATACTGTTGGCATAAAAGGAAAGAGAACTGGATTTTGGATTAAATATGAGTACAGATGAAAAGGTTTATTTATTTAAGTCCTATATTGAATTGACCGTTGAAAAGGTTTATTTATTTAAGTTCTATATTGAATTGACCATTTGATCTTACTCTACTTGATTTCAACAATAATGGTCTTTTAATGTAATAATTGAATGTTGACATTTAACTGTGTCATCACAATGTTAATCCTTCATATTCTAGAACATCTTTTGTTTAATGTGTTAATCCTTTTTTCTAGAATGATCTAGAGTATATGATATCATCATTTTATGACCTAAGTTTCTTAAAAAATACATGACATCATGCCCTAAAATAGAATTTGACATCATTTTTACCATATAAAAATCTCCAAAAAGTGTGTGGACCATTTATGAACATGGTAGTAAACAACTGGTGATTTAGACATATCTGTATGCTTGTTTAAGGTAAGTCCTAAATATTCTGTACATGATATTCAATAACACAACATCTAAATGCAGTAGGATCATATATGTTCCAATTTCTTTGATAAGTTGTTATATATGAATTGTATTTTATGTAAATAATTTCGTAGAAATTGAGCGAATTGTATTTTATGTAAATAATTTCATTGAAATTGAGGGTAAATAATTTAGTAGAAATTGAGAGAATTTAGCATTGTGACATGGTCGAATACTTTAATTATCATGTACAAATATTCACTGATGTTCACAAGTATTGTTCACAAATGTTCACTGATGTTCACAAATGTTCACTAGTATTGTTCACAAATGTTCACTAGTATTGTTCACAAATGTTCACTAGTATTGTTCACGAATGTCCACTGATGTTCACAAATGTTATCTAGTATTGTTCACAAATGTTCACTGATGTTCACAAATGTTCACTAGTTTTATTCACAAATGTTCACTAGTATTGTTCACAAATGTTCACTGATGTTCACAAATGTTCACTAGTATTGTTCACAAATGTTCACTGATGTTCACAAATGTTCACTAGTATTGTTCACAAATGTTCACTGATGTTCACAAATGTTCACTAGTATTGTTCACAAATGTTCACTAGTATTGTTCATAAATGTTCACAAATGTTCACTAGTAATGTTCACAAATGTTCACTAGTAATGTTCACAAATGTTCACTAGTATTGTTCACAAATGTTCACTGATGTTCACAAATGTTCACAAATGCTCACTGATGTTCACAAATGTTCACTATTATAGTTCACAAATGTTCACTAGTATTGTTCACAAATGTTCACTAGTATTGTTCATAAATGTTCACAAATGTTCACTAGTAATGTTCACAAAGGTTCACTGATGTTCACAAATGTTCACTGATGTTCACTAGTATTGTTCACAAATGTTCACTGATGTTCACAAATGTTCACTAGTTTTATTCACAAATGTTCACTAGTATTGTTCACAAATGTTCACTGATGTTCACAAATGTTCACTAGTATTGTTCACAAATGTTCACTGATGTTCACAAATGTTCACTAGTATTGTTCACAAATGTTCACTAGTATTGTTCACAAATGTTCACTGATGTTCACAAATGTTCACTAGTATTGTTCACAAATGTTCACTAGTATTGTTCATAAATGTTCACAAATGTTCACTAGTAATGTTCACAAATGTTCACTAGTAATGTTCACAAATGTTCACTAGTATTGTTCACAAATGTTCACTGATGTTCACAAATGTTCACAAATGCTCACTGATGTTCACTATTATAGTTCACAAATGTTCACAAATGTTCACTAGTATTGTTCATAAATGTTCACAAATGTTCACTAATAATGTTCACAAAGGTTCACTGATGTTCACAAATGTTCACTGATGTTCACTAGTATTGTTCACAAATGTTCACTGATGTTCACAAATGTTCACTTATGTATTACATCAACATTCATCTAAATTTAAATCATGGTTTGATTATTTAACAAGGATACCTCAAACATACTATCATTTAACTGTTATCATTAGACGAGTCAACATGTCTAAAATTTCTTCTTATTCCTGTGAGTGTGGAAAGACATTTAGTCATGCAACCAGTATGTATCGTCATAAAAGAATAGACCATGCATTGCAGAAAAGCATCATAAACTCACCTAATAGACAACGTGACATGGGAATTTATTCAACAATTCCAGCTATGACATCAACAAAATCAAAAGTGCTCTACCATCCATTTACTATGATGGTGGTTGGACCGACAGGTTCTGGAAAATCTACATATATAAAGGAACTGATTGACCATGCTGATACTACAATATCTCCAACACCGCAAAAAATCATATGGTGTTACAGTCAATGGCAACCTCTTTATGACAACATCAAGACAATCAACTCAAATATTGAGTTTATGATGGGAATACCAGACGAATTGAGTAACCCAGATTTTTTAGATGTGAATCAGAGGAACTTGGTGATCTTTGATGATTTAATGAGTGATATATCAAAAGATACAAGGATTGCTGATTTGTATACACGTGGATCACATCATAG